TCACATTAGTGGGTACCCTCTCATGGGCTGAAAATGTGGGTCCCTCTTCTCCTCCTTTGGGTTTAGTTTAGTCATGATCTTTTGTTGGGCCTACCTTTAGGTTGAAATCGTAGCCCATTTCTTTTCTCTTCTCCTCTTTTGGGATTAGTTGTGGTCCTAAGTTGGGCCTTGAAAACATGACCCATTTCTTCTCTCTTTTCTCCTCCTTTGGGTTTTGTCATAGTCTTGTGTTGGGCCTTCTTTTAGGGTGAAATCATGGCCAATTTCTCGGTGCCCTGCTCCTGCTTTCTTGCATCCTTACTTAGACCTTTAATTGGGTTTTAAAAATTATAGAAAAATCCAAAAACTTTATCTTCATTCCTCAAAGCATAATTTCATAATATCCTAATTCAATAAGATTCTTCTCAAAACTTTTGACCTTGGAAACATGTTTGAGTCTATGAGAAAAAGGAATACATGTATAGGAATCCAGAAATAATCAATTAGATTTATTCTTTATCATAAAATATGTCATTAGACTCTTAATTGTGTAAAAAATACCAAGATTTAATATTTCTAGGCATATAAGATTTAGTTTATTAATAACATGTGAGAAAATTTCGTCAAAGTTAATACTTTTTACTTGAACTGAAGTTGATGTAAATTTGCCTACAAGATAAGTTGAGCAATAAGAAGTGGGGGAAGTTACCTCTAGACATATGATCTTATAAAGCTGACTAAGGGGAAGAAAGCTTTGAAGAACAAGTGCGTTGGTTTTCAGGTTGAAACTTTTTACAATCAATCTGACCTTATACTTTGGTAAAGAAGAATTCTCTTGAGTCTTTAACCTGAAAATCTACTTGTTCTTCAAAGCTTTCTTCCCCTTAGTCAGCTTTATAAGATCATATGTCTAGTTTCTCTACAATGCTTCTATTTCTTCATTCATAACTACTAACCAATCTTCATTATGCTCACTCATCAATGTCTCTTGGTAACTTTCTGATTCACATGCATTAGTAAGCATAATATATTTATCTAGTAAATACCTTCAAGAAGGTTGATGTTGTCTACTAGACCTTCTAAGATGAGAAACTACTAGAGGTAGCTCCCCCACTTCTTGCTACTCAAGTTGTCTTGTATGCAAATCTACATCAGCTTCAATTCTATTTTCTTGCATATCTCTCCCTTCATCATGATACACATGAGGAGTAGCTTGGTCATAATCTACAAAAACTTTTGTAGATTTCTTGACTGTTTCTTCCTTCTTTATATCTTAGACGCTCTAATCTTCAAATAAGGGTACATCTTTGCTTTTGAGCACCTTCTACTTTTCTGGATCCCACAACTTGTGACCAAACTGGTCATGTAAGTATAAACAAAATACATTATTTTGTCTTACCATCTAATTTAGACCTATCCACGTCAAGAACATGTGCAAATGCACGACAACGAAATACAATGTTTGTAAGAAACTTCTTTTCATGCCCATACATTATCTGCAACATTTCTATTCAGAGGTATAGATGGAGAAAGATTAATGAGATCAACAATTGTCCTTAATGCCTCGTCCCAAAACCTTTTGTGTAATTTAGCAAGTGAAAGCATATTGCTGATCTTCTCCATAATGGTGTAATTCGTCTTCTCTACAACTATATTATGTTGAGTGCCCAGTACTATCATCTCATGAATAATACCTTGCTACCTAGAATACTCATGAAATAGATTCATGTACTCACCACCATTATCTAATCTTATACATTTCAGCTTCTTATCAGTCTCCCTCTCCACCCTGATCTGAAACCCTTTGAAGATGTCAACAACATGGTATTAAGTCTTCAGAGGATATATCTAAACTTTTCTAAAATGGTCATCAATAAATGTGACATAATATAATACACCACTAATGCCATGTAGAGCCACCTGCGGTCTTTGTCCTCAAAGGCTCACAAATATCTATTGTAGACACACTCTAAAACATGTATTTTCTAGGCAATAAAGAACTATAAAAAGAAACTCTATGTTATTTATAAGTCAGGCAATTAACACATAGACTCAAATGAATACCTTTGAAATCAAGTAGGACCTCCTTAGAAAGAGCTTGCAGCCCTTTCTCACTCATGTGTCCTAGCCTCTTATGCCACAATTTCATGTTGTAATCTTTTTCTATGGCATTTAGCTAGTTGTCACACCCTTCAACTTGCAAACTATACAAGGTATTATACTTCTTTTCAGAAGCTACAACAAGTTAACCCCTTGTAACCTTTCATTTGCCTTTGCCAAACTTGCCTTCAAAGCCTTCATCATCTAGTCTTCCAACTAAAATTAGATTCAGTCTTAGTTTCATCACATGCCTCATATCCTTCAACATCAACTTATAGCCAAGATTGGTCTTGATATGGATATCACCAATGCCAATGATATCTATTGTTCCTAGATTGCCCATCTTGACAATGCCCAAATTTTCAACTTTATACATGACAAAAGACTCCCTCCTTGGTATAGCATCATAGGAAGCTTTTGTATCAACAATCCATTATGAATCTTGACAAACACAAAAAAAATATTGTCAATAGTAGACAGTCAAAAGATCACCACTTTGAATAGTGGCCACAGTGTTTCCTTTTGATTCTTCATTCTCTACTTCTTTCTTCTTATTCTTATTTGTTTGCTTGTACTGACTCTTGATTCCTTTTTCATCACAATTGTAACAAGTGATCTCCTTCCTTGACCTTGACTTCCTTTTGCTCTTGGAGTGACTTCTATATCTTGACTTTAACCTCCCTCTATTTTTTGTGACAAATGCTTATGCTTCACTAGTTGAGTTTCTCCTCAACTCTTCATTTAACAAACTACTTGTTACTTCACTCATGATGACAATATCATCTAGTATGGAATTGATGAGAGAAATCACTAGTGTCTCCCAACTATCAAACAGAGAATTGAGAAGTGACAATACTTGCAGCTGACTCATCTTTATCAAAGGTAACTGGTTATTAGTACTTTACATCTCATTCCAATGCTCAGTAATATAAGTACCTTCCTTTTACTTTAGATTTAGAAGTTTTTTGATCAAAAATGCCTTGTTATCTATTGTCCTTTTCACATAAAGACTTTCTAGCTTCTTCCAAAGAAAGTGTGTAGAGCTCTGCTTGGATACATGGTGAAAAATATTATCATCGAGCCATTGCCTAATGAAGTCAATTGTCTTTTGATTTAACTTTTTTAAATCATCAATTGATGTCGCCTCTGGTCTTCCACCATCTCCTTGTAGAGGTCTTGCAATACAAAAGATCTTCTATCCTTTGTTTTCATATGATCATATTGTTTTGGTTCATGCTAATCATGCAAGAAATATTTCATGTCTCCATATTCAATAAACTTAGCTCTAATACCACTTTTTTGAATAAAATGTCTAATTTAAACTTACAGAAGCTATGAAATAAGGAAACAAGAAACGAACAACTCACGACAAAGAGACAAGAATTTTACATAGTTCAGAGGTTGACCTCCTACGTCCACAAACAACAATGAAAGTTTCACTAGATGTGAGCGAAGTATAGAAGAACTACCTCTAAGAACACAGAGATGAAAGATCTGATCTTGGCCCTCAAATAGACAGAAATTATAGTGGTGAAATGAGGGATGCTAAAAAAGCCTAAAGAATGAATAAAAATAAGAGAAATGATAGTGGTGCAACCAATTCCTATTCCACTGATCTTCGTACAGGGAGCTTTTTTGTCGTCTTCTACCACTGTTTCCGGCGAAAATCAGCAACCTTCTCGTCGTTCACATCTCTCGTTTTGCCGATGAAAATCAGTAGGCTTCTCGTCGTCGAAACCTCTCGTTTCTCCGGCGAAGTATAGCGGGCTTCTTGGCGTCGAACTCGTCGCTTCTCTGTTCCGGTGCAGTGGAACATTCACTGATGGGTCGTCCAAAATACTTAATACTTCTGGTGAGAATCCCCCGCTCATTCTTCGGCGGTCGTTCCTGCTTTTCCGTACCTGTTTCTCTTCCAATTATTCCTCATTTTTCCAGTATTTCCGTCGCGATTTTTCCTCCGATCATTCCTCGTTCGTCCGTTGTTTTCCGTAGCTGTTTATCTTCATTCGTCCGAGAACTTCTCAATCCCGTTCATCCGTTATTTCAGGTCCTTAATATTCTATTTAAATCATGCCTAGTAATCAAAATAATTTAACCTTGTATTCAGACCCAACAATCAAATCAATTTCATCATAAATTCAGGGCCAGACATCATTTTCACTTCTGCTAAACTGAAATAAATAAGAACAATACGAAAATATTACGCACTATTATTCAATCAGAAATATCCCATCCTAGATGCGTTATTGATTCAAAAACATACAAGATTACATTTCGAGTAGTTTTTTATACCCCTTCTCATCTCACCAGAGAAATGTCCCCCTATTTCTCTCTCTCTCTCTCTCTCACACACACACACAATGCCTCGCAGAATGGGCGGTGTTTTGTACACAGAGAGAGAGGGAGAGAGAGAGAGGAGGGAGACCCATTAGGCGTAAAATCGTTTGAATCCTCGCTTTCAATTCTCCAGGTGACCCAGAAGGTGTAAAACCTCATTTTCATTGGTAAGGACGGTGCTTATTTTTATGTTTGAGTGGTCCAGAACGAGAGCGCAGCGCAGTCGTACAATAATATAAAACATCCTAGAACCACCGCCGGAGCCCGAAATGGGAGAGGATCCCCTCTGTCGAAGAAGAGGAGCCGTCGAGTTGACGCCACGCGACGGCTCCGGCGTCCACAGGCGGCGGGGCAAGACGACAGGAGGGGCCCTCTCTGTGTCGCCATTAACCAACCTCCTCCACAGGAACGGGTCATGGGGCAATGGCTTTCCTCGTTTACAAGATCTTAACCCGGTAAATTATTCATGTCCACTCTTTTATGGTCTCCAACCATTGGGCCTTCTCCCAAGTGCTGAACTCTTCTGCCGTCATCACAGGCTGGGCGAGTTGCCTGCGTGAGGGAGGGGAGACCGGGCTGCGGAGATGGTCGTGGAGGAGGGGAAAGCGGTTCAAAGCATCGTTTCCGTGGAACCGAAGGCGAGAAAGGGGGTCCTATCGTCAGCGGTGGACCTGCTGGAGAGGGTGGTTGTGTATTTCACTGGTCACTGGGGCAAGCCCAATTACTACCTCTCCGGTAACTTCGGCCCCGTGCTGGAGGAGACGCCTCCCTGTAGAGAACTCAAAATCAGAGGAACCCTCCCGGTATCTCCTACGAATTTCTAGACCATTGAGAAAAAGAAAAGAAGAAGAAAGAAGCTGGAAGAAAGTAACTTATTCCATCTTTGTCACCGGCAATGAGCAGCGTTTTCTTTCTCCCTGTTCTTTGGCCAGGAATGCTTGAATGGGGAGTTCGTCAGAGTAGGGCCCAACCCCAAGCTGCCTCCGGTGGCTGAATACCACTGGTAACTTTGTTGTCTTTGTGAAGAATGCTGCAAGCTTTATAGTTGCATGGGACGTCACAACTCGGTTTTTATGTAGTTGAGCATCAACATTTCTGCGATAGGTCTCAGGTTGAAGACTCATCATTTGTCTTCTCCATATTTTGATTCTTTTTGTGGTAGACTGTGGTAAATCTCTTGTATTCAAGAGCCCACCAAGTAAATGTCAGTGATTACGATTCATCAAGATCTTTGGGCTCCCTATCCTCTGTGTGATTTTTGGGAGATGAAGCTTGGCATTGCATCTGACAAATTGGCCTGTATTGCCAAACCGCCATTATTATTTCTGATTCCTTGCTAAGAGCTCATCTTTCATGCATGTAGATTTCCTTCTAGAAAGCAGTTGTTCAATTACCTTATTATGATGATAGCTTCTGTTCTTGAATTTCTTTCAGGTTTGATGGCGATGGGTAGGTGTTTTCAGAGTCCCTCCTGGAGAGAGCCTCATTCATCAAAGCTATTTTTTTTCTCGCCATGTGCATCTTTCTGAACAAAAATCTGCAGAATCCAGTTTGGGTTCTTTGCTTGTGGCCCCAAAAAGGATTTTTTTTTTAATTCTTGCCATTTTCACCGAAAACGTTTTAAGAGTAAAAAATATCGTGGATATTGAGATAGACTGATTGCTTTCTATTAGATTACCTACTTAATTTAGACGGTACTAAATCGTATGATTGCGCTTGTGCTATGTGAGCTTCATTCATGTTACTAGAAACGGGCTTTGCATCTGATGGGACATATCAGAATAATCCTGACATTAGAATGAGTTGAACTAAACTGTGTCTATGCAAATGGAATCATCTTCGCTTATTATGGGTTTGTTCTGAATTCTGATAAAATTTATTAGAAGCTGATTGGGAAGAAGATTACTAAGTGGAAGCGCTTCTCTTGCTCACTGATGAATTTTATGTGCCTTTATGTGTTCTTAAAACGATGGTGATGAAGAATGATTCATGGGATCCGTATCAAAGATGGGAAGGCGAGCTATGTCTCAAGATATGTGCAGACTTCGCGACTTAAACAGGAAGAATATTTCGGACGGGCAAAGTTCATGAAGGTAATCTGGTTAAAAAAACGGTGTTTTCACGTCGATTAGCTTCCCTGTTTGGGATATCTTCCTAATAACATATTATGGAACATTCTAATTTCTTGAACAGTCATAAATATTTTTTGTTCATTATTAAAATTGGAGAACATAATGAGGCAGAACTATCATAATTTCTAATGACTGATTATTAGGGACTAGTCTCCAACTTTTATGGCCTGTTCAATGTCTTATAGAGAAAACACTTTCATCGTGGTTGCTCTTTCATCATCAGGTTGGAGACCTGAAAGGATTCTTTGGGCTTTTTATGGTTTATATTTCTCAACTGCGAGAAAAACTGAAAATCTTGGATCTTTCATACGGAAGAGGAACAGGTAAGCTCAACGAGTATGCCTGATTAAAGTTCGTCTTAAAGCTGAGCTGAATCTGCTTCTCATTTTATTTTTTTAATTTTTGATCATTGGATCTCATGGTTTAGCCTGATTTCAGCCAACACAGCTCTTGTATACCATCATGGTAAACTCTTAGCCCTTTCAGAAGGTGATAAACCCTGTAAGCACCTTTCCATTTTTCTTCCTTTCTGTGAATTTCCTTCGAAAACATTAAATCCCTTTGTAAAAATTATATAGCTATGATTTGGTCTCATTGAATGAAGATTAATGGGACCTTTCCGATTTCCTCGAACAGATGTCGTCAAGATTTTGGAAGATGGAGATCTCCAGACACTTGGGCTGTTGGATTATGACCGACGGCTAGCACATTCCTTCACTGCTCATCCGAAGGTGGATCCATTCACAGGTGAGGGTTTGATGTTATCTCGTCCCAATGCCCATCGTCCACCTGAAGGTGATCAAGGCACTGCCTAGCAAGAAGTTTTTTATGATTCATACATGAGAATCAACCAGGCAAGTCACTTGGCAATGCTAGGAAGGTGCTGTCACGGCGATAGCTAGTTGATCATCCAGCTCAAATTTCGTAAATTAAACCCAGATTGCAAGAACAAGTTAATTAGGTTTAGTAATAATCAAGAGGGAAAAAGGTTTTCTATGAACCTAGCATTATGGGTGCATATTCTTCATGTTCTGAATAATAGTGGGCTTATCGCATCCATATTCTACTAGATTTTCCAACATGATTGATTGAATTGAATCTAGGAGGCTCATCTCTGTTGCAGATGAGATGTTCACATTCGGCTACTCTCAGTCGCCACCATATGTTACCTACCGGGTCGTGACAAAAGAAGGCATCATGCTCGATCCTGTCCCGATAACGATACCAGAATCGGTGATGATGCACGACTTCGCAATCACTGAGAACTATGCAATCTTTATGGATCTTCCTCTTTATTTCCGCCCAAAGGTGCTTCGCGAGTTCAGAAGACTTGCATCTCTTGAATTTCTTTGAAGAACTTGCTTGAAGAGCTCTAGTGGCAAGTGACTGTGGAATTCAAGTCAATGCTTTGTTTCCTGGTTTTGAAATGGAATCCGGCTGTCTGCTTCTGTTCGTCGCAGGAAATGGTCAAAGAAGGGAAGATCATCTTCTCATTTGACCCATCTAAGAAAGCCAAATTCGGCATTCTTCCCAGATATGCCAAGGATGAGCTCCAAATCAAGTGGTTTGAGCTTCCGAATTGCTTCATATTCCATAACGGTGATCTCTCTCTCTCTCTCTCTCTCTCTCTCTCTCTCTCTCTCTCTACATAGATATATATATATATATTTGCATAAATATTTTACATTACTGCATTGTGTTGGTTCTTGGCCCAAATACTGTGGATGGATGTTTTCTGAGCTGGGGGTTCATCTCCAACATTATCCGTTTGTTCCTTTCTGGCAGCAAACGCCTGGGAGGAGGACGAGGAGGTCGTTCTGATTACCTGCCGCCTTGAGAACCCAGATTTGGATATGATGAATGGAGACGCATCCGAGACGCTTGACAACTTCAAGAACGAGTTGTATGTGATCTGACGATCTGAAGTACCAGCCAGGTTTTAGACTCGTTGACCATCGGGTTTCTCTCTCCTTTCCACATCAGGTATGAAATGAGATTCAACATGAAGACCGGCGCCGCCTCCCAGAAGCAGCTCTCACTCTCCATCGTCGACTTCCCTCGGATCAACGAGAGCTACACCGGACGGTCTGTTCCCTTTGCCCAAAGCAGAGATAGAAAGAGAATCCTCGCTAAAAATGGAATCTTGGCCGCAATCGATGATCTCTAGTTCATGCGGTTTTGGAAAATTCGGTGTGGATGCAGGAAGCAACGGTTCGTTTACGGGACCATTTTCCACGCGGTGACGAAGATCAAAGGCATAGTGAAGTTCGATCTTCATGTGGAGCCGGATATCACCGGGAAGAAGAAGCTCGAAGTAGGGGGAAATGTGCAGGGCATTTTTCATCTGGGGCCCGGGAGGTTCGGCTCCGAGGCCGTCTTTGTGCCTCGTGAACCTGGAGTCTCGTCTGATGAGGATGATGGGTACTTGATATTCTTTGTGCATGATGAGAAAACAGGGTACTCTCTCTCTCTCTCTCTCTCTCTCTCTCTCTCTCTCTCTCTCTCTCTCTCTCTAATTATGATCTTCTGTCCCCGACAACATTCGGTCGCCATCGCTGCAGGAAGTCCGAAGTCAATGTTATCGATGCGAAGACGATGTCTGCGGAGCCGGTGGCTGTCGTGGAGCTCCCGAAGAGAGTTCCCTATGGATTTCACGCCTTCTTTGTCACAGAGGTACGCTTTCCAGTTAGCCCCTTGGATAGAGAGAGAGAGAGAGAGAGAGAGAGAGAGATTTTGACGGGATTGCTAAGTGGGCCTCTCCATTTTGGACAGGAACAACTGGAAAAGCAGGGAAAGATCTGATTGAATGAAAAGGTGGGATGCTCAGAAACCCATGCATTCACTCGATCTTCATAGAAAAACTTCGGAACATTCATGATATATATATATATATATATTTCTTTGTGCCTGTGTACACGGCGGAGCAGACAACCAACTCAACGAGGCACGCTACCACAGAGGACGAAGCCCAACCAAACCTTGAAGTTCCACTAAATCAGTGGCCAAGAAATATTCATTGAAAGCCCTAAGATTTCAAGACTATACTGACAAGAAGTCGGTAACAATCCTTGTCAATAGAAAAGGCCCCCATAACTTCATCTCGCAAAATATCATTATTTAACTAAAGCTACCTACACAGATTACCCCACAATCAGGCCCTTTTCAAGATGAATATGTTGAAGATTATGTATAAATGAGAACTAATAGCAATTGTTCATGCATTATATCAATGAAAATGTTATATTATTAGTAAAGGAATTATTCTCTCTATTGATCAATAGTGTATCAAGTTTATCTTAGAGAATTATTAGTTTTAGTTTCACGATCAAAATTGTAGTTAAAGATTATTACTTCTAACTTTGAAATATTATATAAAGTGGACACTAGTAATGAGGCTTTTAAACTTCTCCTGACTATTAGATCATGCCACATTTCGCTTTTTGGAAGTACAATGGCCTAAGCTATTAGACTTTTAATTAATTCATAAGGAGAATAGTATCAATCCTCATTGGGCAACAATTTTCGTGGAACTTCACTCCTCTAAAAAGTGACCTTAATACTCACAACACTAAGGCCAATTATTTCTCAAGGGAACAATTGGTGGTCTTGAAGAACTCTACCATCACACTTAAAGTATTATAGAAGTTCCAAGGTTAAACTCTAGATGGAGACATAAGCAAATATTTGAGAATGTGTGATGGATGGACATGAAACTACATCCATAAGTATGTGATTGCTTGTACTGATATGTCAAAAAGTTAGGTCAAGGTTTCTCTTTTCAATAGGTGTTCTTAAACCTCTACTCATTTTAGAGAAAATCTGAGAAAACATCTCCATGATTTTTACCGAAAGGCTTTACAATTCCAATAGGTTAACACATTCTTGTTGTGGTCAACTGGTGAAGAAAGCATGCATATTTTTCTCCACTTTGCCTTTAATTTACAACACTTCAAATCAAAAAACGTTTCATTGGCAACATCATATATTTACATGGTTTCATGTCCTCAATACTTACTAATCGTGAAAACATATTTATGAGCCATTTATGGTGATAATTATTCAATTTTCAAAGCACAATATTATCATGGATCACTACTTATCACCAATTGATTGATGATCAAGTAGAAGTGGTAAAGTAAGGGTTTGAAAACTTATCTTCATTTCTTCACCAATGCTCAACCTTACCAATTGTTTGAATGACTAGCTTAGACTAAGTACTAATATGATAAGAAAGCCCTCTCCCATCTCTCATATGATATGCTAGTGAGTCTACCAAGTTGGGTAACACAAACTACTAACGTGCCCAAAATCGTTGTTATTCGGTGCACTCAAACTTAATATTTATAATTGAAAATTTAAATAAAATTTCTTTAATTATAAGGATTTCAGATTGATCCTCAAGAAAATCAGAAAGTTAAAAACATCCTTTAATATGGAAAGTGTAAAAAAAAGGAATGAAATAGTAAAAGTTTTTTACAAATTACGAATGTCAATGATATCTAACTCTAAAAGTTAGAAAAAACTCAGAAAATATAGATGACTAACTCTTAATATCCCTAAAAGTTTTCTTGTAACTCAATGTGTCATTCTCTGAACAATAATATTACTAAGGTAAAAAATTAATAATTGAGAACATGAAAACTAGAGAAAATAGTTACATTTTCTAAAAGATAAGAAACTAACCATACTACATTTTCCCAAAAGATATTAACCTGATTTCATGTGATACTTGTGAAATTGAATTTGTTCTAAGGAAAGGTCAAAAATATGGAAAATGTAGGAAATGATTTTTTAAAAATCTAAAAAACTATTGTAAGCACTTTCTAAAATCACAAAAAAAAAATTATAAGATAACAAACTAACTATGCTAGATTCTCCCAAAAGATACTAACCTAATTCTATTTGGCACTCATGAAATCAAATTTGATCTAAGGAAAGGTTGAACCAAAAAACTCAAAAAATAATTTTCGATGATGTGCGTGATGATTTTATCACTAAATCACTAAAAGACGATCTTTGGATAAGAAAAAACATTCAGATTTTTAAGGAAGTAAGTTATTCAGGAAAAATCATAAATCTGAAAGGAACTACACAATTGGATACATATATCATTTGTTTACCAAAAAAATGATGTTTAATGATTATGTCACCAAATCATCAAAATATGATCTTTTAAAGAGATAAAATATTTATTGATTCGTAAGAAGGTATGGTATTCAAGAAAACTTATAAAACTAAAAGAAATTACATAAGTTGATACATATTTCCTTTCTTTTGCCTTGGTGTCATTGTCAAGACATAACAAGTCAAGGATAAAGAAGAATAACTCACTAGAAACTCAATGAAGTGTCATCTATTAAATAATACTCATCACCTACAAAATAAGAGGGAGTCTAAGGAGTTAAAAAGTGAGAGGAAAAGGTGGAGAGATCATGCTTGCAACCTCGAGGCCTTAGATGTCTGTCACCTAGCTGCCACCTCCTGTTTGAGTGTGAAAAAAATTCCTTTCATTTGGCCTCTCTAAGATTTTTATACCCACACCTTTTTGGGCCTTCTTTTTCGATCCTTTGTGTGGTTTGATTAAGCCCAATCTTTTGGGCACTCTTTTTAATTTTCTATACCATAATATGCTTTTTCTCATGCATGAGAGCTTTAAGCTCTAACATTCTATGCTAATTCCTTTCACTTTGGTAAATCTATAGAAATCAATATCCTAAAATAAAATTTTTAAATTTTAAACCCTTGTTCCTAATAAATTAAGATACATTCTCAAAGTAATAAATCTTAGAAAAAGATTAAAAAACATTATTAATTTAATCCATAAGCTACATGATGTAGATATAACTAAGTTTAAAGTTATTTATACATATCTTTTGACCTTTGCTCTAATATGATGAGATATAGTAATTCACGCTTATTATAATTCATTAATGTAAAAATCAAAGAGATAATTAATTAATTTTTAGTGATAAATATTTATCAATTATCTATCACAAGAATAGATTTCCCCAAACCCAATCAATAGTAAAAATCTATCATGATAAAAAAATAAGATTTCAAATTTTTTGTAGACAACTATGTGCTTACTAGTTACTATCTCTTACTCATTGCTTCTTCTGTTCTTGTAAGATTATCAAGCACATTGACTAGTTGCCTTTTGATCAGCTATTCATCCTACTTCATGCACTCAATTGGTAATTCATGTGTCATAGTTGAAGTGATATATTGCCTAGTCTTTGATATCTCCTACTCTATTGCTTGATCAAGATCTACTAACCATTGATATGTTGAATATTCTTGACTTTCACCAGGCCCTAATGGTGTCAAAGTTGTGACCCAATAAAATGATCCACCCACTTTGAAGAATGCCCAAGAAAAAGTCCATAATATCCACCACTAATTCCTTTTCCAGTAAGGTCAAAACTTATAAGTCAACTACAATAAAGCCACTCTTGACTGCCATGCTGTTTAGTCAACTACTAACTATGAACCACATTGGTGATGAGACAATAGTATTCAAAGGTTCAGGACTTGCAACAAAGTCACATCGGATGTGAAGCATAAAACAGACTTTTGGCACATAAATTACAACATATAGGATTCTAAATGATGACCAAAGTTAGGAGTGAAATGATGTAGGATTGGGGCCCAATCTAGAGTCAGCCGGTCCACTAGAGGACTCAAGTTCAGCCCAAGCAGCTTTGGGCCTAGAAGACCATCGGAGATCATGATGCCAATGCATCAGGTCAGCAGCTGAAGATTTTATTTACTATTAACATGTTCTTTCTTTGTTTAAGATTTCCATTACTTTACTTACTGTGCTTTGCTTTTTAAGGTATTTAAAGGGCCCATCTCGTCTTTGTTGGAGAACAATTAGTGATTGATTTCTTTTACCTTCACATAAGCTCCACTGTTTGTTGTTGGCTGTGAACCCCATCGCCCCAGTAGGGTTGGTTGTGAGGATCCCGTGCTCCCAGTTGAAGTGTTATCGCCATCACCATTTCCTTCGACTATCACTATTCGTTGCCGTTTCCATTGGCCCGTCTTCCATCTGCCACTGCTGTTGTTACCCCTTCCACCAGCCACTATCACCACCATATCACCCCAATCACGCCCATCGACACTGCCCTCCTTTGCCATCATCACCGCTCTACCACTCCCTGTGCCCTACGGCTCCACCTACACCGCTCCCAACAAATCTCCGCCGCTGCTGACATATCAGCTAGAGAGGAGAACCCTAGGTGGTCAGCTATCTTCCAAATTTTTGTCAAATTTGGGCCAACTATTTCCAAATGCATTGTAGATAGTGGTAGTAGTATTAGTGCCATATCGCAAGATGTCATCACTAAATTAGGATGCTAATGACAGATCACCCTAATCCTTATAAGATATCATGGGTGAACTCCACACATATTTTGTCTAACAATAGTGTTTTGTCTTACTTGAGGTATTGGTGCCTATGAGGATGACGTCCGTTGTGATAGAGTACCAATGGATGTTGGTTGTTATTGTAGGACGGTATGATTCTATGACTAAGATGTCACATAGATAGGTAGAATGAATGCATGTTCGTTCACATACAAGGAGAAAAAGATAGTGTAGTATCCTATCTCCCTAGATTTGACGAATGCCAAACTTCTACCTCCATTACACCCCCCCTTACCTTAAATCTTATTAGTGATCATACCCTTCAAAAGGAATTCTAGGAAGGATACCTTGTCATGGCTTGCATTCATCATGGACGGTTTACACCAATGATTGCATTTAAACTTTACGCTACAGGGGCACGGCCATTCAAAATT